AATAATCAGGTTTGAGGCACTAGACGATAAAAATTACGGATACCGGATGTTGATTCCATGTGAATCCACGGTGAGCGCCGGTAATTTTCTTTGTGTTCTGGTTACTCAGGAGTAACGTGACTTACACCCGTTTATTATGACGCCGATTGCTTCGTTGCTGCTTGCTTTTCCCCATTTTATTCCAACTTAGGTATGCTTACTCTTCAGTAACTGATGTCAATGTTTGGTTTTCCGCCCATAATTGCTTGCAACTTCGTCTCATTTTTCCTTAATTTCAAGCGAATTCTGTTACGGCTATGTGCTTTCTGTGTTTGAGTCACGCGTGCCAATCCAGGAAAACGACCAAGAAATCCTAATTCTGGAATCACGGTACTATTGCAAATATAACAATATACATATTCAACAAACCTCCACGGATTCTCCTCTGCAGGTACCATAGGGTTACAAAAATAAGGCGGTACAATTAACAGCCTGAGGATGAAGCGCAAATCACTTCGCCTCAAAATCGATATCGTCACAACCAAACAGATATCGATGGCGAGCAACCGCGAAATCACAATGTTCGACCAAAGTCCGTAAGAGTTATAAAAATAGTTCAGTAAAACAAAAAGGTTTCAGTTTATCTAGTCAAGAGGAATAAATATGGGGATTGGCTGTCACTTGGGGTTGGAAACGGGAGCACACTGTTGGCAAGCTATCTTCTACACATACTCCGACAAAAAGCGGAGTGATCAGGTATCGAACCCAGAGCTTCCGAACGGTAGGCAAATGCGCTGTTCACCACACCAACCTGACGCCTGGAAGGGTCTATTTTTATAATACCCTGCCAGATAACCTTTAGTAAGACTTGTTTTAAACGGCGAAAACACGCAACCTGACTTTTCACGTGACACGAGCTGCCGCGTCGCGCCGCCAACCAAAAGCCAGTTCCTCGCGTCCCAAAAGTACTGATTTCTGCGCCGTTGTCTCTCTATACGGCGAACTCACACCGTCAGACTACCCGTGAATGTATGTTTGAACATCGTTAAGTGCTCACTTGTAGTTGCTTCTAGAAATCCCCGCTGCTTCAGTGACTATTTTTTGCTCTTGTTGATAGCGTCATTATGGATTGTACATTTACTTAATTCATGATGCTTATTAACCCGCTTGCCTATAGAACCGGTTCCCGTCAGTCCTCAATACACCATCTGCTGCCCAAGTCTGTCCGGTTCTACTGTTTGCAGGTTACAAAAAGCGTATAATCTAGTAGCCACAGTCGTCCTGTGAGATCCTCATCCACCCGGATTTTAGATCGGAGTTAAGCATTTATTAGCCAGCGCTCCAAGAGGAGGGGTTGTCGGTGCCGTCGTGGTTGGGTTGGCACTGACGGAAAGCCAGGTAAAACAAGCGGCTCTAGGATGATGAACCGGAGTTACATATTTGCAAAACAGCATTAAACTGGATTTATTTTGGCGTCTCAGGGACACCCTTTGAAAAAGGATGTGCAGATTTGCTCCTGTATACATGCAGCAAAATAAATCATCTGGCCGACCTTGGGCGCGACACTAAGCGTCCCCCGGGGTCCTCCGTTAGGTCAGCTTTTGGATGTACGGCCTTGTCTTGAACAAACATGGCACAGGAGAAAACGTTGGTATCTGTTATAACATCAGCCGATTCGACCGAATCCACCAAAAATTTGCCAATACATGGCTTTATTGGGTTCTAGAGTGGCAAGGCGACTACAGGGTCTCCACATTTGTTAAGCTTTCTCCCTCATTTCTTGGATTATGGGCGGTGAATTCCGACCCCATAAAACCAGTCTGCCATCTAGATCCTCGAATAAAGTCGCAGAATATGTACTTCTGCATTTCAGTGTGTAGCAGCCCTGTCTTGATAGTTCAGTGATGAGGTCACTGCCAACAGGCACTAGTGCTTCTGGTATCCGTGTAGTCAACTGGAACTGCATGTCACGTTACTGCGTTCCACCACGTTCCTTTGCTTGTACAGGTCAAGGATCAGAGCCAGGGATCAGAACCATACAATCTGTAACCAGGGGCGGTAAAGAACGTTTAACAGATGACGGGACGGGTGAGTACGCCGCTGCTCGAGCTCTCACCAAATATGGATGGAGTAACGTGTTGAAAAATACATCTGAAATTATTCATGGATGCATAAATAATAAGTAAACGACGTAAGAGCGCAAGTGGGTCGAACTCACAAGTCTAAAAAATTGCACGAGGACCTGTTACATTCGTTGGGTTCAAACTTCATTTTTTGTTTGCACCTCCGAGTAGATCAAATCGATTCAATGAAGTTGTAAGCGATTGGAACCCAAGGGCTTATGTACCCGGGTCAGTAGGCTGCCAGTGTGCGTTTGGAAGATGAAGAAAAATCACTGGGCTACATTCTCTGTGATGGTAGACCATATCATGGCTATTGGTGCCTAGACTTGAAGAGGCAGTGGCACCTGAGGCCGTTCACCCTTAGTAGCAGCTTGTATCTTGTGAGAATGGGTATTATTAAACGGCTTAAAACGTGGTGATCTGTACTGTAAACAAGACGAAATTGGTGGGTCAGTTTCGATTACAAGATCTTCACTTCGGATATGCCATTAGAATAGACTGAAACGAAAAAAGAATTTGAAGGCTGGCGGGATACGGAGTGAGGTAATACCAGAGGATGGGCGATGAGCTCAGAAAAAGTGTAGTGTTGTAACTATCCAAAAAGCTGCTTTACCAGGAGTGTGTGGCAAATAAATAAAAATAATAACGCCAAACTGGGTAGACAATAATAAAGAGGCCTGGTGAAACAGACTCACTAAGAATTGTCCTCATTAAAGTAGTTCGTCGTTGGCCTAGCGAATCAATAACAGTTCAATCGTGGTCGTCCGTGGGTCTTGTACTGTACAGTTCTCGCTATCATAATGTTCGAAGATAGTCTGAATTTTTTTGATACCAGAATTAGCAAGTGAAACTCGCGAATGACCACTGTAAGCGTGAGCGAAACCGGAAGGGAGAGTTGAAGCACGTGACCACTTTGGTAACGCGTGTAAACTGTACAAAATGCGCGTTTTTGCAGTTTATCGGGTTCAGACAAAAAGCGTTTATGAAATCCAAAAAAATACAAAATGCTATAATGGAAACAAAAGAAAGATACAAAACACCACCTTGGACAACGGATATTGTACTTAAATGTTGTAGGAGCCCCTTCTTCACGGATTGATGGATTGATACACAAATCGAGGCTTTTGCCCAAGTTTCCCTGGTCAGCTTTTTTTTCTTGTTGTTCAGCGGCTGTCGTTCACCTGAGAGGCACGATTGAAAATGGTGTATCACTGTTCTTTATGTTCTCAGCTCGGGGCAGTATGCTTACAAGGGTTAGGATTCGCATAAATAAATATCTAGTCTTCTGAGTCTCCTCCAAATGACATATGGACGCACATTTAATTATTCAGAGGAAAATGCCAGTCCAAAGACCGCTGCTTTGCAGCGTCTACATCCATTTGGGGGGCACTGGCATCGGAATTCCAGGATTTCAAGTCGTCCGCAAAAACAGGCCTGGAATTGCAAGAAGATCTGGAAGGTCGTTGACGCAGTTCAGAAACAGCAGTGGTCCCAGAACGCAGCCTCGAGGAACTCCGATGGAGACCAGCGCTGCAGAAGAGTGGGTCGGGCCTATTCTCACTCGGAATGATCTGTCTGAGTGGAGCCCCTTGATCCAGTGAATGATTTTTCCTTGAATCCCGTGACACTCGAGTTTGTGGAGCAGCGGGACGTGTGGGACCCTATCAAATGCCTTTGAGAAGTCGAAAAATATGGCATCCGATATGAGTCCTTCTTTCTTGGCTTGGGTTGAGCTGTCCATAAACACGAGCATGTTTGTCAAGCAAGAACGGTTTGTGAGAAACCCGTGTTGAGCTGGAGATATCAGGTTGCTGGAGGTTAGGTTATCTAGGATAGCTCGCTTCAGAATGCATTCCATCGCCTTGCACGGCACACTAGTGAAACTTATGGACCTGTAGCTGCCAGGCGATAGTCGGTCACCAGTTTGTAGATTGGCGTGACAATCGCTTCCTTCCAAGCAGAGGGAAGGTAGCCATCGTCAAGCGACTGACGAAACACCAGGTACAAATGATTTACCAGTGTAGACGACGTTTCCGTCAGGATCCTTGGATGGACCTCGTTGGGCTGGTCTTGTGCAAGAGCTGATGAATGTACTCCACCGTAAAGAACAGTTAGAGACTGTTCGCAGTTACGCCTTGACAAGAGTGAATTTGAGGAGGACGCTGTGGCAAACCTCGTCCTAATCTCAAATAATTTTGGAGAGGAGGATTTCCCCCTGTTATGCCCGTGATTTTCTGCTAGGATGGCTCGAAACGGTGATCCTGAGGCTGTAATATCGTGGCTGAGCTCGGAACAAAATACTTAAGCACAAGGAGAAAGCCTACTTGAAATGTTCGGTCAATAAACTTTGACCCATGTATCGGCATGTGAAGCCACGCAGCCCTGCACTAAATGGGTTCCTTTGCCGCAAATCAGGCACCCTTTAACCAGGTCCACAAAAAATCAGACCATCGGTATGTCACTGCATGTTTCCGCGTTCTTCCTACCATCCACTGACAGGATGCTCATTTTGGAGAAGGTTCAGCGAATGAGGTGAACCTCCCTTTGTGTGGTTTGAAATCTACCCTACGCGTTCCGTTAGTGGAGACCGTTTATTCATCAGCGCCTCTTTATAGTGTCCCGAAAAGACGATCTGGTAAACATCAAGGGGAGCAACCGTTCCGGTTTTTTTGCATAAAGCTGTGTGCACCCAACATTACTAACGGTTCACAGGTTGAAGTTCAGTCATTTTGCTTCAGTCCACCCGCATGAATCCAAGAAGTTATGATGCCATTTGACCCGATTCGTTGAGTTCCCGGCTCACCGCTCATGTTCCCACTTACAGACTTCATTGAACTCCTTGACGCAATTGGTAGTTTTTCTTTTCCGTTGGAGGTTAAACAGATCCTCAAGATTTTCGCAGTACTTTAAACCGGCCCGAGCAGTGTAAGCTGTTATCGCAATATGGTCCTGTTCGAGGAGTTGAAAACCAAAATACCATCAGTGGAACGCAAATTTTGCACCGGAGCCAAATATGTCGATCGCTTCCACGATGTGACGCCTGTATGTATATATTCATTTGAATATCATCATGTTCTAGGCTGGGAATTTTGGAGAATGCAGCAAGATAAGGATGAAACACTGTTTAGAACACTACAAAAAGGTAAACATGGAGTCATAACTCTTCTGCATCTTACTCAAGCCACCTACTCCGGAGATTGTAAAAAGATTTGACACGTGGAACAATCCTGATGTTGAACAAACACGAATATTTCATGCCCTGGTTGGTGACAAGCAGCTCGAAGTTGCACGGAATATGTATCACGGCATCAGAAGCAAAGATCGGTGAGAAAACCATTAACCATGTGAACATTCAAAAATACCATTTAATTAATCTCCTAGTGGTTCTTGTGGTAACCGTCAGTTGGCACCAAATGTGAAATAAGTAGACAGTTGCAACTTCTCTATAAGGCTACAGAAAATTCATGACTTACCTCTCGTGTGGGAAGTTCTCCTGGTTGCGCAACGGAAGCACTGTCCGCTCCTTGAAATAGGAACCGAGAGGCCAGCCGGATGATGCAACCCATGGAAAAAATGCTAAAGTTTGAGCAAGTAAGCGTTTGAACGGAAGGTGGACTCTCAGATATTGAGTCTGCGCATGACTTTACACAGAAAAGTACAATCATACATGTTCCGGTGCTAAGAACACAGTTTCCTAGGGGAGCACGCAAGTTTGCTTATGGTATTCGTTCGTGTTTCCGCTACTTAGCCAATCATAGAATTAATTAAAACCGATTAAAGGAAACTTTTGAAATCGTACCGAACTACCTTTATCCACTATTACAATATTTTCAATTACACTTACAATTACAATTTCAATTACAATTTCAATTAAAATAATTTCAAGCAGGATCAGTTGACCCACATATGCTTCGAAGACAACTGAGCAGAAGTCCCAGATCACAAAGACGAAATTTTTTCATAGTGGACAGCAGTCGTTTGCCGGTGGATCAAGAACAAGTTTGGCTGATTTTGAAAGTGCAGAATGCCCCAAGGTCTACAAAAATATTGAAGACCTCTAATATCATGGATATCTCGTCAATACTTATCAGCAAATACCATGGCGCAGCGTTCCACCTTATCACGACTCCCACATTTGTGAGCTGAGCAGCACTGAAATGGTCGTTCAAATGTTGTCAGTGAACAGGAAATAGTATTTAACAAAGAAAGACATTTGGGGTTACAACTCTGAACCTATTCTTCACTGCTAACTGTCTGCTAAAGATTTGAACAAGCAGCGATGGTGAAGCTGATAAAACGCCAACTTCCTGTTAGCTTTTTAGTTACTTGCTTGCTTAATTGACTGTGGCAGCTCCCTTCTACATCCTTTGAGCTACTGTACGAAAAGACTCATAAATGTTGCGCGCATAACATCAATCAATAACCTTTACTTATTTGATAGTCTGATTGAGTTATTCTAGTTTGTGTGAGTGAGGTGAAGATTTGTACTTGCATGGTTAATGGGATCGTCCGGTCATTCTGATGCCATGACTTTGAAACACACGGTATAGCAGTGGTTGTTTCTTAAGAGAATGATGTTGAAATTTTATAGGTCCTCGGAATGAAAACTTATGCTAGCCTGAGGAGGACAAACAGTTAACTCAGTGCTGTCGCCTATAAGATTCACATGAAAAAGGAGGCCGATCGTTTTCATGGGACACATTACTTTCCTGGGAGGTCTGTAGTCACACTGGCGAAATGTGACATTTTCTTTACAGAAATACACCTGTCAGATTTCTGTTACAGTGGTTTGGCAGTACCAGGAGAAATTCGTTGGATAAAAACACCGCGCAATTATGTGTCATGCGTGTAACCACCGCTTTTAAGATTTACTGGATGGTGAAAAATCCTAAACGTTGCCACAAAAGAACTGCCGAGAGTTGTTAACATGGTGAGCATGCACCTATTTCTTACATTTGTTACTTCTGTAGTGGTTAACGGTCAAATTGCTAATGTAAGCCAGATACAAATTCACAAGGAGAAAAATCCAAGCAAAGCTTGACTCACAGTTCAAAATAGGAGGTTCCGTAGTTCCGTATTCCGTTGAAACAGCACACCAAGAAAAGCCCTAGCTTTTTGGTATTCCAGATCTCCGGTGATCGAAATGTTACTCCACAAGTGTGAATATATTAGTCCAGTGTTTGTGGCTAAAATGTTTGATCACGTTTAGAG